TTAAAGTAGCCAAGAGTAGCAGGAGGGGAGTGGATTTACTCAAGAACCTCAAACCTTTCACAAACACTGCTTACTTTCCAGGTGACAGGGAGTAAATGGCTGTTCTAGGTGTGAACCCGAGTGGTGATTCACTCTCCAAACTACTGCTTGCGGATGGGGAATGTAATGATGGTGGCATGATGTGTGTGTGTGGTGACTGGGGCAAAGGAGAGAGGTGGGGTGAGGGTTAGGAAGATCAGTGTTCGAAACATATTGGGCAACTCCTGTAGCAACAAGTGCTTGTCAACCTGTTCAGATTCCTCTGGACTGTGGCACTCGCTGGCTGTGGTCTAACAGCTGGTGGTACGAATGGAACTTTAACAAGAAGAACAGCAACTGTAGAGAAGGCTCACTGATTTTCAGTCCTAATTCCAAAAGATGACATGACATACTTAAGTTACCCCAAAGAGAAAGACAAAGGAGAGGGATCCTGAAATACAAGTCCTTGTAGGAGGAGGGCCAAACTAAATTAAATTTCAATAGTTAAACTGGCCTGGCATATGATCTTCATTGCTCGAAGACCTTCTTATTATTACCCAACCCACAAGTGAATTCTATAATAAATAGGTCCTCTCTGTAAGATAAGCACTGGACTGCAAACCACCAGGTTGGTGGTTCAAGCCCACCAGCCACTCCATGGGAAGACGATGAGACCTTCTGCTCCCTCGAAGATTTGCAGCCTCACAAACCCTATACAGGGCTGCTATGAGTCAGAACCCACTAACAGCACTTAACAACTCTTGCCTGTAGCTTTAATTTTACACTTTCTATAGCGTAGTGGTTATAAATCGGGCGGGCTGCGAACCACAAGGTGAGTAGATCGAAACTACCAGCAGTTCTGTGTGACAAAAATGAGGCTTTCTGCTCCGGTAAAGATTTACAGCCTTGACAGGGTCGCGATGAGTCGGAACCACTCCATGGCAAGTAACAACAACATTGGTTCCTTGTCATCTGGCTCATTTGAAAGTGAGGTTCCTTTCAAAAATGACAATAAAACCAAACACTTTTCCCCAGCTCTCCCCACTAGAGTTATTGCCCTATTTCTTTCCCTCCTGCCTCAGGACTACCTCAGCCTGCTGCGATCAGGCTTCTGTTCTTACCACGCTTCTGAAATTCGACTCCCCAAGGATACACAGGACATTTTCATTGTCAAATCTAGGCTTCCCCAGGATCCCCACCTTCAAATGGACTGTAAAATGACGTGGGGTGGGGTTTAAAAAGACCTTACAAAATTATGGTTATCTGTTAATATTAAAATTTTTGTTTTATAATGTAAATAAGGAGCCCTGGTGGTGCTGTAGGATAAGCACTGAACTGCTAACCATAAAAGTTGGTAGTTCAGACCCACCAGTGACTTTGCAGGAGAAAATGTTGAGATTATCGGCTCCCATAAAGATTTACAGCTTCAGAAATCCTGTCTGGTCCCTGTGAGTCAGAAATCACTTGATGGCAGTAGGTTTAGGTGTTTTTAAGTACATGACGTTTAGAATTCTACTTATATATAGTTTATAAGGACTCCTAGTGTGATGCTGTTTTAGGATTAGCACTGGTCTGCAAACCACAAGATCAGCAGTTCAAACTCACCAGCTGCTCCTGAGAAACCTTATACAGGGTTGATATGAGTCTGATCCGACTCGATGGCACTTAACAACGTAGTTTATAAATAAACAGAATGACTAGTTAGTATGTTGTTAGCCGAGTCATGGCCGCTCCATGTGTTACAGAGTAGAACTGCGGCCTAGAGTTTTATTAGTTTTTAAACCCCACCCCCCCGTTTATTTTTGTTGTTGAGAATATGCACAGCAGAACATATGCCAATTCCAAATTTTATACATGTACAACTCAGTGACATTGATTACATTCTTCTTTAACCATTCCTTGGCATCCACCTTTCTTGGGTGTAATCTTTATGGAAGCAGATTACCAGGACTTTCTTCCATGGAGCTGGTGGGTAGGTTCAAACCACCAACAATTAGGTTGGCAGCCAATCAAAACTGCAAGAGACACTCAGGATCCTATGATTAGCATACAATTGAGGGAACTTCAAAAGTTCATGGGAGATTTCCTTTATCTTTTAATTTCATTTTTTCATGAACTTGTTGAAGTTCCCTTATATATATATATATAAATGTTTAAAATAAATATGTAATAAGGATATATGCTTAAGACTTTTTATTAAAGGGATGCACTTTAAGAAAACGTTGGAGGCCTGCCTCTTCAGGATAAAGCTCATCCCCTTTATCATGGCATTTGAGGCTGTTTACCTCAAAAGAAAGGAGCTCTGGTAGCATAGTGGTTACGAATTGGGCTGTGAACCTTAAGGTCAGCAGTTCAAAACTACCAACTGTTCTATGGGAGAAAGAGGAGGCTTTCTGCTCCCATAAAGATTTACAGCCTTGTAAACCCTGTACAGGGTCGCTATGAGTCGGAACCGACTCCACGACACATAACGAACCAACCGAACCTCAAAAGATGTGGTAGCTTCATCCACCTCTCCTTCCCTCCCTCTAACGCAGACCATGCTCTATAGTGAACTGCTAGCAATCTTTCAAGCGTACCAAAACATCAAGTTGTAGTTCTAAGTATTTTGCACCTAGGTGTCACAGCAAATCTGTTCAACACTATCCTATTTTTTTGGTCTAATTTTGACTATTTCTCTGTCTTCATTGATTGTCATGAATACTCATCCTACAAATATTTACTGAGCTACTGCAATGTATGGCAATGGTGGTGCAATGGTGGTGGTGGTGTGCCATAGTCAGTTCTAAACCTGTAAATGTTTACGGGAGCAGAAAGCCTCTTTTTCTGTAGAAAGGCTGGTAGCTTTGAACTGTTGACCTTGAGCTTAGCAGCCCAATTCCTAACCACTAGGCTACCATAGCTCCCTAAGCATGGCAATTGTTGTGAAGTGCCATCAAGTCAGTTCCGACTCATAGGGTTTCCGAGGAACAGCTGGTGAGCTTGAACCGCCGACCTTGCAGTTAAAACGGCTTTGCAGCCTGGTGCATTAACCCACAGCGCCACACCAGGCCTGCCTATAAGCATGGCAATAGGCATTAGAAATATGGGGATGAACAAGACCACCAGGACCCTTATCCCATAGATATATCCAAAACTCAGTTTCTAGCCCTCTCCTCTCATTTTCCTCTTCTCTAGCTGACTTCCTTTCAGCTTCTGTGTCTCATTTCTAGCTACTTATTGACTATTTCTACCCGTATATACTTCCATCACCGTCTGAATTCATTGACCTCCCTTATCACATTTCTAAGTTTTGGGCTCCATTCCCAGTGCTCTCTTACACATGCCCCTTTGCATTTTTATTGGTTTAATTTCTTGAACTATATTAAAACTTGTTTCTGAACTGAGACAGTTTTCTAATTACTGTTCTTTAGTTAGAAATGCCATCTCTCCAAGTTGCAATTCATCCTATACCTTGCTACTTATTTTACAAATTATTGCTGGCTTTGCCCTGAAGTGGGATAGGGAGGGAAGTTTCAGGCCTACTTTTTATAGCATATTTGGATCACTTTACCCAAGCTTCAGGGACTCCTCACAAACTACCTTGATTGTTGCTTGAGGGTCTGACCTAATAATTATCCTCTTGCCTTATCATACACAAACCTAATCAATTTGTGCTAGTTGTTTTCAGAAGACACTGTATTCATTTCTGGGTCTTTACCAAAGCCGCCCCACTATTGGTCCTGGCTCCTCAGTCCAAATTATTGTGAGCAATGCATTATCTAGATGTGGACCTTTTATTTATTTTTAAGTATATTAAAGTTTAGTCTTCTAAGCACTGTTCCCCATTACATACTCATTGTTTCTTCCAATCCCAGGAGGTATGTAGTTCTAATATCTCCATTATATACAGGCATTTAATTGGCCCAAGGCCACAAGTAGCAGGATCTGGATTTTAACTCTGGTCAAAAGCCAGAATTTGTATTCCATTCAAAGGCAGCCCCTCTGACTCCACAGTGAGTGTAAAGTGCTCAGCTGATCTCCCATAGTGCCTAAGGTTGAAAGACACACTTTGGTACCTATTGTCTTTTCTTTTGTCTTTGCCTAATAGTTAGGAGAATTTTCCTTTCCAGATCCAGTCTATAGTCTCATTGGCTGACAGGAAGTTGCAGGGACTTCACAAAACCATCCTTCAATATGCAATAACTTTGGGGTGAGATTCTGCATTTTTTAATACCCTAGGTCATTCTTAGACCCTTACTCCACAGCTCATGCTACATTCCTGAGGATTGTCCCATTATGCCGTCCGGGTACAGCCATTCCTTTTAAGTATTGTACACAGCTGACAAATTGGAAGACAGGCCTTGTATCTATATGTGCCTCGTGGCAGGTCTAATAAGCTGAGGCAACTTGCCACAGGTATGCATTTGATAAGGTCACCCCCCCCCCCATGGGCTTCATCCCTGCCACCCACACAATAGCCCACTATTCTCACCATCCAAATAGCTGTTACCCTCCTTCCCCAGCCAGTCCTCAGGCCCACCCTTCCTCCATGCCCCCTTCTTCCCTCCCCTCACTCCCTCAATTTCTCAGTCTGAATGGTTAAGGTAGGGGGGTACAGGTTAGAAGGATGACATAAATTGCCATTCATCAGAGGTCCTACAGAATCGGGTGTACTTCTGTCTGGGAAAACCTTGTTTCCTACCAGAGAAAATAAGCAGAGACCTCTGTCTGGAACCCGGCTGGAGAAATGCCATCCAAAGGATAAAGGTCTGCAAACACCCCAGGGTAGGCCTAACCTGCCAAGTTCCTTTGTTGGGGGACACTGAGCGGATGATATCTTACCCATAAGGTGAGAAAGGCTTGAGTGAGTAACAAGGACGGGCCCGCCCCTTTCCCTCCTCCCCGAAAACACCTAATAGGAAAAGAGGAAAAAAAAAAAACCCCCAGCACCCAAAGAGTTTTAAGAGCGTATTTTCCCAGCCTTTTCAAATATGAAGCCATTTTTTTTTTAACCAATCCATTTTTTAATTCTTAAATTCTTGACATTACAGAACTAAACTGAAATTTTATTAACATTCCACTCTTACATTTCTTATCGACAAACAGAAATAAAATTCATGAGCCAAAAAACCCAAACAAAACTAAAAACAGGGAAAAGCTTATAAAACTAAATATGGATCCCAGCATTAACAGCTGAACAGAAAAATGTGATTTAAATTCTTAGCGGATGATAAAGTGTAGAAACTGAACACTTACAAATTATTTAGAACCTGGAATCACTGACCAGAAATTACACAGTTGGATCATGGGAAAACAGCAGAAAGGGGTTATAAGCGAACCTACACTGTTCTAGCTGCACCCCATGCCCTTCTCAGAGGAAAGCCTGGCATTGATTAGATATTGGGCCAGACTAATACTGGCAGCCGAACCAGTGATAGTAACCTGCCTACCAGAAGAGCCTTCCACTGGGTTGGCAATTTTGATCTGGGCCCCCGACATCTGGCGGATCTCATTAATGTTGGCGCCCTGGCGCCCGATTATGCAGCCAATTAAGTTATTTGGAATGGTGAGTTCATGGGTGGTTTGAGTAGATGCATCCAAACTTGCCCAATAGCCTTTCACCTCTGGAGAGCTGGAGTCAATTCCGGCGAATCCCGTCCCGCCGTGCATCATGGCAAAGTGAGATTGTTGTCTTGCCACCTGGTTCAGCTTGGCCAGATCGAGCGGAGAAATGGTGTGTTGTCCTTGAATGGAGTAGGCGTCCAGAGGGGGTCCCTCCAGGTCGTGGGTGGCGTGGGGGTAGCCCGCGGCGTCGCTGCAGCGGTCTTGGCCGCCGGCGCAGATGACCGGCGAGCTGGCCGGCATGGGCTGGTACGGAATGGTCATGACTCGCCCCTGCGGAGACTGCGAGAGCGTCTCCAGCATGACCAGGCAGATCTGCTTGACACACTCGGTGACCGACTGCGGCACACCCGCGATGGTGATGGCGCGCTCGGTGGAGTTGGGCAGCATATCCCCCGCCACCTGAACCTGGGCGCCCGTGCTCTCGCGGATCTCCTTGATCTTACAGCCGCCTTTCCCGATCAGGGAGCCGCACTGGGTGGCCGGCACCACCAGCCTCAGGGTGACCGGGGGCCTGCTGGCCACCGTGCTGTTGGTCATGGAGCTGTTGATATCTTCTTCCAGCTTATCGATGATCATGGCGAAGGCTTTAAAGATGGCATTGGTGGGCCCAGTCAGGGTGATGATCCTCTCGGGACAATTCCCCTCCGAGATGTTGATCCGCGCGCCACTCTCCTCGCGGATCCTCTTAACCGACTCCCCTTTCTTCCCAATGATGCTTCCTACTTCCTTTCCGTGCATAAGAAGCCGAATGGTGAGAGTCACATTTAGTCCACTTTCAGTCACACCGGCATCCATGGCGAGCGGCGGGCGGCGTTCGGGGGAGTTGGGCTCGTTACGTGGTCAAGTCTTTGGTGGCTGGCGGGGGGAGGGGAGGTGTAGGCCCAAAACTGCCGGCGCGAGGCGAGCGAGGGCCGCGGGAGCGGGCGGGTGCGGGCGGGAGGCCG